CCCCCTTCAATCACAGCTCTAAGGACCTTCACGCCATGGCGGTAATGATCTGCTTTACACGGAACCCATCGTATGAACAATCAAACCTTTTCTTGATATTAATGGTCTGTCACGTGTCTTCACAGTGGCCGCGCCGTCTAAGACATGAACTGTCTTCGCTCGCTCGAAAGCTGGAATCGTGGGTTCGAATCCCACTCAAGGCATGGATGTCTGTGTGTGTGCATTTATTCTGTGTTTACGTTGTCCTGTGCAGTAAGCGGCCTTAAGACGGGCTGATCAATCGTCCGAGAAGTCATAACGTCTGTGTAAAAAGGATTACGAAGCTGAAGAGGCCCAACGAAGTGCTGTAGAACCATTGATGAGTGAACGAATGAAATGTATCAAATACCATTCTCATCAACGTTACATCAGAACGAAAAATTTCATTAAAGTGTCGATTTTTAGGAAGGAGAATCACGAGCCAAATTAAGAGTTCCCAAAATCGGAATGTTACCGCTAAGAAATGCTATAGTTACATTGACAATCTGACACAACACGAGAAACACCTGCCCTACACGTTAAGGCTATGAACCAGGACTTCATGACTTCATTCCTTGTAACGCCTGCCATGTTACTTTCTCCACTCGCAAACAAGACGGTCATATTAAGAAGTTCATCCCTCCTAATTAACCCCAGCAGCCGAGTTATAGAAATAGGGCATGCCAAACTGATTATGATGTTTAAAGCAGAAAAGTATGGGAAGAAATGACCGTCAGTATGTGAGGGCTCCATCCCGGCAACGGCCTGCAGGAAATGACAAGAGATTTAAAAATATCAGGACCGTACTGACTAGGAAGAGCCGGCAGCCATTTGCAACGAGTAAGCTTGACTTTCTGTACTAATTAGCCCAGTATCAGTCTCTCCACGCATTGTTAATCTCGGCTCCAGACAGGTGAGATCGGTCGACTTCATCCTCCTGTTTACCTCGTGGAAAGGCCTCCTGTACCGTTTGGACGTAATTGGCTGAGGGGCTATGCTACAAGCCTGAAGGTCGCGGGTTCAAATCCCGATGAGGTTATTGGATTTTTTTTCAATTGACCTAATCCTTCCAGCCGCACTATGGCCCTGGGGTCGACTCAGCCTCTAACAGAAATGAGTACCAGGAATTAATTAAATAATTATCCTGGGGAATAAAGCGAGGCCGGCACGTAAGGCTGACAACCTTACCGCCATCTTTGAGCCGATTGTCTAGATAATGTGAGACCCTCAACATCTCACAACCCTATGGGCCTTCACGGCCTGGTACAGGGATAGCTTTACTTTTTTTGCTTTTTTTACCGTTTGGACAGCAGACAGTGGGCCCCACAACCTGCTGGTTACGGGGGCAAAAAGATACATCTCCCTCTGCTGGGAATCGAACTGTGGTAGTTCAGACCGTCGTCTAATCATTTTTCTGCGTGAACTATCCCAGCTCCTATACCCTTACATAACTTACATCAGAATAAGTTGCCCTAGAACGCTGCTGAGATGAATCTACAAATGGATTTACAAGTGAGCAGCCGAATGTGGTGAAGCTAAGTTCCTGTTGATTCCTCAGAAAATTATTTGTGGAAATAAAACCAGCAATGAAACATGAAACTTGCGGTAGAAGCTAATGCTATAGAGAGAGAGAAAATTGTTCCCTTTTCCATTTTTATGACACGCATCACTTCCTCTTTACATGTGTCCCACTTCAGAGCATTCTTTTGAATGTGTTCCTTGCAATTTCACATTAAACAGAAATGAATTCGCGAACTCTAGTTAAATGTGCATTAAACTGTCTTTCAAATCTCTCTCTAAATGGAACCGGAAAAGTTGCTGGAACTTCAGCTGGACGTTCTACGAAATACATGGTGCAATTGATAATTAAATTTCAGTGTGGACAAGACAGTTTGTAGGCATGTCAGAACTTAATGAGGTCGAGAAACTTCTTATAATGAATATATTTTGCAGGAGGTGGCAGAAGAAATGAAACCGACGTATCCGTAGTTTTCTAATAGGATTTCATTCCAGTTCGAAACAACTCATTTAAGAAATTTAACATCCTTACAAAGTTACGCAGCATGAACTCGTTTAGCAATTAATTACTGATCCGTTGAGGAGACGTGGAAACGAAGTGAAACGACTCGAAAATCCACGTTCTACGAGATATATAGAATTTGATTTTATCAAGACGAAATTCAAAACTAAAGTATGGCCAATGTTTCTATTCACTGAAATGTAAAGTTCTTAGAAACTTTGTATTTCGGACACAGTAGCAAAGAATTCAAATGTTTAGTTATTGATTAATAACACCATTCATGTCAGAGCAGTAAGAACAGTAGCAGTGCTATGAGCCGAGATAGCGTAGTCAGTACAGCGACTGGCTACGGGCTGGACGAAGAAAAGGTCGGAGTTTAGAGTCCCGGTAAGGTCAAGAATTTTCTCTTCTCCACGTCGTCCAGACCGGCACTGGGGCCCATCCGGCCTCCTACCCAATTGGTACCAGGGGTAAAGCGGCCGGGTCGTGAAGCTGACTACTCACCATCTAGAGCGCAGATCAAGAATATGTGGATTTATACATCTATTCCCCGATACGCCTCCATGGAGCAGTGCATAATTAATTAAGCACAGGGGAACTTTACCTTTTTTACTTTCAGTAGTATGGTACTAGTATTAATGATGAATGTACGTGCAAAAGTGTTATCAACAACAATAGGATGCGACAGAAGTGTGTCAGCATAGTTTCAGAAGTATTTATAAGATACCCCCTGTAAGCACTCCAGCCCAAAACTGCAGAAGACGACCAGTCCTGGAACAGCACACAGCCTGAGGAGGATACTGACGTAGAGCTTAATTTAGTTTCGAGTGTGCTTTTCAGGAAGCTGTTAGGTACTGGCGGAGTCTTAGGGACAAAAATTGACACTGGTTCAAGCCAAAGACATGATGTTACAATTAAAACACAAACAAACTCCGTGGCTTGAGTCCGCAAGCGAACTATACCGACAGAGTGACCGCCGCTTGTCGGTGAAGTTAGTGCCAACTTTAGCGGATAGAGGGTGTCGCGTGGTCAGCGCAACGTATCACCAAGGCCGTTAATTTCGGTTTTCTAGACCGGAGCCGTTATTTCCTTGAAATATCTCAATTATCCTAACGAGGTTGAGTGGACCCCGTTCCAGACCCACTACTTCTCCGAAAAAAAAATCTGGTAGCGCTGGCAATCGAACCCGGACCTCTGGATCCGTAGCCAGGAACTCTAACCACTAGATCACAAGGCACAGAACATGCTGTTACGTGATACAAAAATACAGTGATAATTCACATCAATTTTTTTTTATTTGCGTGCTTGTTCAACAGTCAGACGCCAGTTATAAAGTAAGAACGCTTCCTTCTTCAGAGATGGAGTAATAGAAAACTACCGAAGCGTTTATATCATTATATACACCACCCCCAACAACTTGTCTGTCATTTAAGCCTTGAAGGGGAACTAAATGTTCCTTCGATACATGGGTAATGCTTCCCATTACGGCACTGTGCTGCGCTCAGAAACTACACTGAATATGGTAAGCTAAATTTGTCCCTGGGTTTTACTAATTAAGCACTACGCCATGAAGGCGTATGTGGGAGTGCATGTATAGATCCACATTTTGTAGACCTCGGCAATAGTTGAAGGTGAGTGGTAAGCTCCACGCCCCAGCCGCTTTACCCCCGGGACTCATTGGATAGGAGATTGGGTGGACCCCTAGAGCCGGTTTGGATGACGTGGAGACCCCACCGTCACTAGAATTCCGACCTCTCGGCGGTCCAGCCAGCATCTAGTCTTTATAGCAACTGCGCTAGCGCAGCTCTTGAGCGCAAACTTGCATATTGGAATGTTGGATTCGAGGCTGTTACAGCGGTGACTTTGAAAAGTTCTACCTTCTACAATATAACGCCGTGTTCTCTGTTGAAAGTCAAAAGACATTTCGAATGAACATGTCGCCTCCATCTTCAGNACTTGAGCTATGGCGCGGTCACAGTCATCCAGGTAAACATCTGAATTGTATCTCGAATTAGGCTTCATAAGAAGAAATCAGCTCCACGGGAGGCAGGCAGTTGGGTTATGCAGAAATTAGTGCCTACGTGTATACGGCTCACAGCAGACGCCTGGAACAAGGAGCAGTACACCCGCACGCGAGCTGATACCAATATTGCGGATGTGAACACGTGGCACTTCCCCTCCCATTCCAAGCGACACTCATTTGTTATTACACATCACACATCAGCGAAAGCTTGCGATACAATTTATCACTTAAGCACCGCGCCGTGATGCCGGATGGGAAGTGGTGATATAATTCCACGCATTCTTAACCTCGTCACAAGCTGGGTGTTCGTGGTAAGCTTCACGACCCGACCGTTTTACCCCCGGAAGAAGAATGGACCCCAAAGTGGGTCTGAATGTGCAACGACGAATAGAAAAACATCAGCCCCAGTCGGGAATCTAACCTCGATTCTCTGGTCGTCCAGCCCGCAGCCTGTGGTGAAGTCGCATTTGTTTCTTCATGAAGGAAACGAAAATAAATATAAGAATTCAAGTTTCGGTCTTGCGGGTTGTTGTCGCTATAGTTTCTTAAATATATACTGCCGCTTCGAAGGAATCTGCTGACTCCATTTTCATGCTACGAAATATTAGAAACTTTACATCAAATTACACGGCGTCACTCCCCAGAAGACCGTAATCTTCATGCTTATTGTTGTGAGAACTTCAAATCTCATAACATAACTGCTTATAGATACGGGAAAATTATTCGCTACGGACGTTTGAAATGAATGAATCAAACTAAGGCATCAGTAACATTCTGCAGAGTAGCGGTGAACCGTCGATTTCAGGACAGCCATGAGTCATACGTGCTTATATGAGGCGTTTAAACACCATTTGTTTATAGGCAGGGCTCGGCTGCCAAGCCCGTCCAGCAGAGAGAACCTCCAGTGGTTCATATGGTGTCCGGAAACACTAAACCGGCTTCATTTCGGACTAGAGTGAGTCCTTTTAACGTTCACTGCGCAGAATGTAGGAGTGACTTCACAACTGACACAGTCTCTCACAACGAATTTCTTATATATTTACTTGCGACATTAGCAGAGGCAGTAAACAAAAGAAAAGCTACAACCATGGGGAGAGGGAAGGTCGCCTCTGGAGTCCGAGACGTGTAAAAGAAGCCGCCTACAGATTCTGGCGTCCCCAGATGGTGTAGAAGAGAACTACTGTACTAGCTCGTTTCTCACTTGCCAGAAAACATGGCCGTACCCGTAGCTGCCTCGTGCGTGTGCGTGCGTTTAGATAAAATGTTTGTGTTGGTGTTTCTTTGCGTGTGCCTCATAGCAAAACTGTGTGTTTCGTCTGAAATGGTAGTTACAGGAGCTGAGAAAACTTGTGACGCACTGTACCGTGACGGCGTCCAAGCTTATTTGGAAGAAAGATGGCAAGACTGCATTGACAATTTGGAACACGCGTTATCAAGCTATCGCTTATTGAAGCAGACAACTGTGAACTGTAGACTAACGTGTCACGCTGCAGCAGATGAAACCTCACCCATGGGCCCAAAAAGCGTCGATGATCTCCAGTTTTTTGAAAAGATGATCAGGAAAACTTTGTGCTTATTAAAATGTAACAAACATAACCCCAAAGATGGTCTTCATGGACTACCAAAGAGCGTTCTAAAAGAATTCGAAGACTTGAAACCGTACGAATATTTGCAGTTATGTTACTATCAGGTGAGTCAAATATCGTCGGTATAACTATATACTGCATGGAAAGGTAACAGCCACTCAGCTTTTCATGAAGGTTGCCGCTTTGTATGAAACTCGAATGTTCATTACTGTATTCACGTGAGCCCGTCACTGGACATGTCCTGATCCGAATGAATCCAATGCACACCCTTCTAGGCTTCTTCTTTAGGTTAAATTTTTATATTGTCATTCCATCGACACCTAGGTCTTCTAAGTGGTCTTCCCTCATTCAGAATTACTGGATATTTGTACTTTTTCCATCGTCCGGTATTCTATAGACTAGACTTCGCCGAGGACTTGTATGTGCCCCAAACTGAGACCGTGCTCTATAGAGAGGAGTTAGGTGCAGGGTGGCAGTGAAGGCAGGTAGCCGAGTGTTATCGTTAAGGTGACAGTTGTAGACGTAGAGAAATATTAGCGGAACAGCAATCCATTGTAGTACACCAGTGACTGAATGGTACAGTGTCGAGCGAGGCCGCGCCATAGCTCAAGCGGTTAGTCGCTGGCTTTCCACCGCGGCGGCCCGGGTTCGATCCCGGGTCTGGTCAAGTGGGATTTGTGGTGGACAAAGTGGCGCTAGGGCAGGTTTTTTCTGAGGACTTCGCTTTTCCCTGCCAATCTTCATTCCACCAGTTGCTCCAAAATCACCCTCACCTATCATCTGGGGCTGGTACAATAGGCCAGAAGTGGCCGCAGTACAAGGGACTTAGTCCCACCCCACTAGCAATAAAAAAATAATACAGTGTCGACTGACAGTGTGATCTAGGGACTAATTACGGTGTTGATTAATATCAGTGCCCTCAAGGTGAAAACAACTTCTGATGTCCTGCAGTTATTGAAGCTCGCAAGCTTTCCTTGGGATTTTTCGTGGGTGCCACGTAAATAAATCCACCTCCAGATCGCCAGCTTTCACGCAGACTTCCATAACACGTGCGAGAAGTTCGAAGACTGCCTAATCTTACAAATTTTGCACTGCTTAATCTCTGTAGAGAATATTTATTATATTCCTGCCAACACGGTATTATTTCCTGTGGGTGGAGTTTTCTGTTTAGGACATGTGTGCCATCTTTAGGTCCGGTTGTTAGTTAGGGTTCTATCATGAACTTAGCGTCATTTTTCCATGTGAACTGCTTGGACCCACCGATGTGTTACATAATATATATATATATACATAATTTTGGAATTTGATATAATATAATCGCCTCTCCCAAAAGTGAAATCTCCGTCTCAGGGCTGTTTAAAAGTTTAGGAATATAAAGCTCGCTGTTCCCTATGATACTCGGCTTAACAGTACAATTCGAAAACCATTGAAAATCAATGATTCTTAGAAACTCGTTAAGAATTTCTCCCCCTTTTGTGGACATACGTTTTGTCTCCTGTACCACTGCACTTGCTAAAGAGAAGCAACGTAAGATATTCCAGCGATTAGCTCCTTGAAAGTGATGGAACAGAATTGGGTTTATTTGGGTGGCGGGCGACCGGTTACACTTGTACTCTTCAACAGCTGTAGCTGCCGTATACGAATATTCATTAGCAAGAGAATGGAATAAATGTAATATCAGTTAGTGTTCTGTATTAGGTCGCGGTAGGAAACAGGCACGTTTATTATTGGAGCCAGGGTAGCTCAGTCGGTATAGGGACTGCCTACAGGCTGGCCGACCGAGGGGCGCAGTTCGAGTCCCGGTAGAGTCAAGGATTTTTGCTTCTCCACGTCGTCCAGACGTGCTCTAGGGCCCACGAAGCCTCCTGTCCAATGGGTAGAGGGGGCTCTTTCCCTGGGGGTAAAGCGGTGGAGCGTGAAGCTGACCACTGACCAACTATTGCCGACGTCAAGTATTCACTCCCCCATACGGCTTCATGGCGTAGTGCTTAATTAGTTAAGCACAGGGACAGCTTAACCTATTTTATGTGTATTATTATGGAAATAGCCTTTTAATAGTTTAGTAATAGAGCCTTGAGGTCAGTAGGATTCGTGATATTATATTTCAGCGTCCTGTGACTGTACCACGTGACTAGGACCTGTGCTCTGAAACAGGAAATTCGGATGTTATACTATCTCTTGTTTATTTATTCTGCTTCTTGCACAATAATCGCTGTGTGGCTGTCCACTGTTCCCATCTAGAAGTCAAAATATAGCCCATTTCTACTCACGCTGAAATCACGTGTTATTAATAAAACATGCCACGTGGCAGTGTCAACTTATTTTGACCAACGCTGGAATGGTGTGGCGAAAATGGATTTATTGGGAATTCCTTTGGTTCTCATAACGCATGTCGCCATGTTGGTGTTTTCAGTGTTGTGCAGTGAAAGTCTAACTCAGCGACCCTAAAGCCTAATAAAGTTCCAATCGCCTGAAATTAAAACCTAATAATATTCACATCAAATCGTAGTAGGATATACTTGTATTTATTTAAACTGATAGCCCCTAAGGCATTTATCCTTTAAACTACAATGATTACCGAATGTATCGCCTGCTTTAATATTATGAAACTCTGCATGTTTCCAACAGACTGTATTTATGGGTTTCAAATAAGACCCAACATGAGCAGCAGTTTTTTTTGCAGTGGTGACACAGTATATTTCCTTTGAGGTTAGGATTTAATGTATTAATATTATTCAGATGGGGGGGGGGGCACGCGGTAGCGTAGTTGGTTGAGGCACTATCCTACAAGCCGGAAGGTCGCGGGTTCAAGTCCCGATGAGGTAATTGGATTATTAATCGTTTCCATGAGAGACACATCACGGAAGACACCGGAGCAGCAGAGTTTTGCCTCTGAATCCGTGCTTCCTCCGTGTTCCTATCAGTTCTGCAGAGATTGCAGCGGTAGAATTGTGCTGCGGGCTTGTTCATAAATGCACAGTTCATTTGAGAGCACAAATAATGGACAGAAACAAAGTGGGTCACCATCTTCTTAATTTGTTGAGGATGTTTATTACAATCTGACTGTGCGGGTAGGATCTCAGTTGTTTATAGACATAAAGAAGTTATGGTTCCCCAGTATTATTACGTATGCCACTCATGTCTCACTTTGCCCCATAGGGGTCTTGTTAAAAGTAAAGTAAAAGTAAAGCTATCCCTGTAACAGGTCATGAAGGCCCATAGGGTTGTGGGACGTTGAGGGTCCCACATTATCTAGACAATCGGCTCAAACATGGCGGTAAGGTTGTCAGCCTTACGCACCGGCCGCGCTTTACTCCCCAGGAAAAATTATTTAATTAATTCCTGGTACTTATTTCTGTTAGAGGCTAAGTGAACCCCAGGACCATAGTGTGGCCGGAAGTATGACCTCATCGGTATTTGAACCCGAGACCTTGCGACTTGTAACATACTGCCTTAAGCAATTTTTAATTTAGTAACAAATAGAGCTCCTGTAAAATTTTATGGGGTTTTCACTGAAAAGATTGCTCTAGTACTAACCTCAGAGCACTTGTCATTGTCGGTGTACACGTCTACGAAAGTAGCGGGATGGCTCTGTGGAAAATTAGACTTGGCGTTAAGAATTGTAATACGCGAGTCACAGCATTCAGAGTTGCCATTTTATTTGGAGAGTCTCTCATACTTGTATGCAAAAAGTGAGAAACTTTCTACTGAATTCGTCACGGTTTGAACACTGTAGATTCACGAGATCAGATGCGTGTTCCACAGTGAGCTTTAGCAGTTCTTCACAGATGACTTCATTATGGAACCAAATTTGGAGAACTGTTATGACTAGCTCTGAAAATATCCTAATTTATTCACGACTTTTGTGTGGCGAAACTGAGTAGGTTTACTCTTCTTGTTAATCTGTACTGATTCATTTCAAATTTCATGCACAGACTTCGTGAAATCTTGCAATTTCTTGTGACAAAGGGCGCCAGCAGTCTGAGAGGTGCGGTTGAGAACTCCCTATGCTTAGCATATGTATGAATTAAACAATGCTTTTAAGGGTGAGAGAGAAAGACATGTCTCGCTCTTTTCTTATAATGGACTTTTCTGCCTTGGGGTAAATCTTGCTGTTTGTTAAGTTCTCACGTGGGAAACCGATTTTTGGAATTTTTGGTTCTGTTCGGTTCGGGGAAATATTTGTTACTAATGATTGCTTTTTTATTTAAAAACAACGTTTCGGAGATTGGGCTCTGTCTCCGTCCTCAGATAAAAGCCTACTCAGTTGGACCCAATCGATGGAGTTCGTCCGTATCTCCGGACGATGGATAATGTCCAAAAGTCAGTAGCTGTAAACCAAAATGTTCATTGAACTAAGTATTTCCTGGAATGTCACGCTGTATTATCTGGCAGAAGTAAACTTCCAGCAGACTACACGGTGTCACATCCCTCACAGTCACCTCCGGGAGAACCTCAAATCTCACCTAAATTACGGAAAATCTGCGATACATATGTCTCAAAACCATTAATTTCGGAAAAAAGAGAACACTCTTAAATATACGGATTGTTTTCATCTTTGTTATGACAATGTGTAGCCTCGCAGCTGGTTACATGCACTTCGGAGGAATCAGCTATCTGTGTCTTCAGGGTATAAGTGTTTCTCCGAGAATGAAGAATTCAGACTACTGGCTTCTGGGCGTCCAGTCGACTGTCTTAATATTCCGAGCACTGCGTGTGGACCAATGTGCTGTTGTCTGCAACCATCTAACGAACAGCTAAGGATTCCCAGCATTCAAACCAAGCAGCTGTCATGTCCACTCGGTTACTCAAAGACGGGCAATATCCCACTTGAATGCATCCTTTCGGGATAATATTGAAAAGAGATGTAAGAACACATAATCCCGTAGAATATCGAAAAGATGAGACCACCAGCAGGTGGCAATGTTCACCATCAAGTGTGGGAAAATGCGCGAACAGAAAGTCCGAAGTCATTCCCTACGCTCAGAGCAGATTTCATTAAAAAAAATGCATTGTACATAGAATCTATACATAAAACACGTATATGACCGTGTTTAAATTAATCAGATATTGCGAACACAATATTTGTTTATTCTCGATTATT